ACATATCAGTAGCCAAATATTTTCACCAAGATATACAACTGCACAATTTTCTTAATTAGATATATTTTTATTGTCCTATTATTTTTCCCTTCCCCAATAATAATTGCTGTGTTAAATTATTTCTCTTTTTACTATACTTTTCTATTGTAAAGGCTGGTCAAAGGCTGGTAATAAAGATCTGAATTTGAAATTTCTAGCAATCCTTAATGTATTTTTGCCAACACCAGGACTGAAATGATGATGTTTTATGGATTTGTTTATAGATATGAGATGGAATGAAGATATAATTGGTTGTAAATTAAGAGGTGAAAAGTTATTAAATTGTTTATACTTGTATTGAAGTTTGAAAGTCACTTCTTTGTATTATATTTATATTTCTTTTCTCTTTATTGCAGTCTTTTTCTTTTCTTTCATCTATTTTTTCCTTTTCCTTCAAACTTTTAAACTTCTACTTTGTATTAGTTTTTACTATTGCAATTATAATCTTTAATAAATATTTTTAAATGCTCATAGAAGTTACATTCCATGTTATTTAATGCATTTTTTCTAAAATTATTACTCTTTTGGAGAAAGGGTCTCTCCATATAATCTGGTCTGGGAGGAATATACTATCACTAGTGCCATTAAAAGGCAATCAACATCTGGTCTGACTTGATCTTTTATCTTGGATTATTTGCCTGATAAATTCACACAGTACTAAGAGATCACATTATTTAAAAAATAAGTAGTTACATTTATACCAGGAAATTTAGATTGCTATATGAAAAATATTACAATTACAATAGCAAAATATGGAGAAGCAGTGAAGTCTAAAGTTAGGCCACATATAATATGAAAACTGATTTAATTTTCATATTGTAATTGTTCATTGAACATCTTAGTGGATACCACAAAAAAAATCATATTAGATTTTCAAGGTTTTGAATAAATACTAGTCCACAAGAGGGCAAAAATGAAACTATTTGTTTAGCAAATCTATTTTTATCCAAGAGATGGCAGTGGCAGATCAATCATCTGTATATAACAAAAACCAGAGGAAGAAATGTAAACTTAGGGCAACCCCTCCACAAAATACATTGCTAGTAAGATGTTAATATTGGTCCAAAGAGTAGTTGTGTTATGATCACTCTTATTTTTAGATTCTCAAATTCCAGTTTAAAAGTCTAACACATAAAAGGTCTTTATTCTAAAGCTGTTAATGAAAAATTAGAAAATATTTATTAAAGAGCTAAGCCAATAGAGAGAAACATGGCAAATGGATACCTGCTAGATGACTTTAGACCACTCACTGTCTCAACTGAAAAGAATTGTCATGAGAATCTTGGAGGGACTAGTAAGTATACTGCTTTGAGTTCATGGGCAAAGGCAAAATATAAATCTAGCAGTTGAATTCACCTCTCATTAACTTACCTACATATATTTGTAGCAGACTTTTAGGAAAAAGACTCCTCACCTAAAACCTGACAATATACCCTGAATTTGGGTATTGCTTACTTTGCTCTGAATTGATCATTACACGCTTTATCTCATATAAAAAAATAGCTGTCATTTAAATACCATGCATGAACATTCCCAATTTCCACATTTTGGATTTCCTTCCATAGCAAGGCATCTGCCAGGCTTTAAAAGGGACAATCATTCCTGCAGGTAGGACAGGTTCAAAATTTAGCAATAAACTGCACTGTAAAATGAAGATTTGAACCTAGACCTTTAGAGCTCTAATCCAGCAACTTAATCTAGATATTCTTATCATGAGATCAAAGCCTCACTCTTATTCCTGATAATAGATGGCTTGATTTTCATTTACAAAGATGATGAAAAAAAATGCCCCATTTATTCAGGCCTTTTTTCTCTTTGCAACAAACCAAAGTCAACTTGGTCCAGAATCTTGTACTGTACAGTGTATAGGGAAGCTACAATCATCAATAGTTATTAATCATGAGGATTATATACAGTATTAGCACAAACATAAAATAGCAGCTGCTGAACAATGGAAGCAAGTGGATGTTATTACACATATATCTGATTTGTAACCTACTTAGAAGCTTCAGCTTGCACAATTAGGTAAGAGAATGCTAAGAAATATAATATTTAATAGTAAGCAATCTGATTTAATATGATGTGTGCTTGTATCAAAGGCGGGATGAGCGGGGAAATGTCATTGTCTCCTCCCCATACAGTAGTTCTTTTACAGTGGTTCCAAAGCTGAGCAATTTGCTGCTATATATTATTGTGAATAAAGTTACTACAATATGGGATGTGCTGTTCTTCCGCCAGAAAAATCCCATTCATTTATTCAATTAGTCTTACAATTGTGTATGCCACACAATTACAAGTGGCTTATAATGCTAAGATTACAATTATATACAGCCACTTCTAGCCAAAATGCAACAGCATGTATAAATAATTTCTGTCCATCCAAAAAAGTTTAACCAAGTCAATAAAAATCATCCATCAAACTGACTAAGGACAGACTTTGGGGTCAGTTTCCTGGTTTAATGCAGGAATGGGAAGGTATTAATAAAGAATATGAAGGTTTTTAAAATCTTTATAAAATTCTCTTGTATCTCTTATTCCATTATATTCAAGGCACAGTTAAAATTTAAGATATTAAATCATATTTGCTGATGCTAAACAGCATATGGTCAGTATCTAGATGTGGGGTCTCACAATGATGCTAAACAATTCTTCCATGTGATATTTGCCAGGAGTGGTACATTGGTGGTTCAGCAACAATTTTCACAACAAAAATGTAAGGTTTCTGCTTCCTCCTACATCTTCCTCCTCTCTCATATTTATTTGGCACAAGGAGCTAGAAGAGCTGGAGGATGGGGGCTTGAGGGAAAGGACATTTTTTAATTACCCATAATATCCCCTAATACTACCCCAGTGAGGCATGGGAGGCAATCAAAAAGGCAGCAAAACTGAACCATTCAATTCAAATATCCAGGCAAAGAGAAATCAATGGAGAACCTAGTGTATGTGTGGAATTGCGACACAAAATTGCTCACAAGAGGGGTGCCAGAAGTATTAAGATTGCCACTGCGATTGTAAAATATAAAAAAGAAACAAAGCTGTGATCATAAATTGCATCTGCCTTTGAGTTTTTTGACCCATCAAGATTTCTGGAAGGGGAACACTAGCATTTCCCTCTGGTCTTAGATACAGGTAGTCCTCAACTTACAGCCACAATTGAGCGCAAAATTTATGTTGTTAAGGGAGAAATTTGTTGAGTTTTGCCCCATTTTACGACTTTTCTAGCCACTTTAAGTGAATCACTATACTTAAATTGTAACATGGTTGTTAATTGAATTAGGTTTCCCCATCGACCTTGCTTGTCAGGTCTCAACATCCCAATGTAAATCACAGGACCAGGGGCATGCTCTAACGGTCATAAGTGTGAAAAATGGCCTTTAAATGGCCTTAATTAAATGGCCTTAATTCACCTTTTTCAGTGTCATCGTAACTTCAAATGGTTACTAAGTGAACTGTTATAAGTCGAGACTGCCTGTATTCAGCTTTATATTAACAGAGTTGGAACGGATCTTGCAGGTCATCTAGTCCAACCCCCTGTCCAAGCAGGAGACCCTACATCTGCCTCTACCTAGGATTGAACTGAAAACCTCATGATTGTGAGGCAAGAGCTCCACCTCTAGGCCACAGCATGAAGACATACAAAACAGAATAGAGTTGGAAGGGACCTTGGAGGTCTTCTAGTCCAACCCCCTGCTTAAGCAGGAAACCCTACACCACTTCAGACAAATGGTTATCCAACATCTTCCTAAAAATGAAGCATTTCTTTTAGCCGAGGACGCCGAGTTCCACCTCAGCCGGCCTTTCCAACCATCGCGGTACCAAAAATGAACAGCCGGGCAGGGAGCGTGAACAGGATGACGCTGTAAAGACGCTACGAGGCCTTTGTACGAGGCTCTTTTCTGGAAGCGAAGCGCGCTTCATTCCGCCCAGTGGCGGGAAAGCACCATCCGCAGCATTTCTTTCCCGCGCGCTACCATTTCCGGATAGCGCCTGCGCGAGGCGCAAAACTCCTTTCTAAGTCCTGCACTGGAGGAAGTCGCGGGCATGTGGACTTGAGGGGCCGGGGAGGGTGATGGAAGTCTAAGCAGCCCGGCAAATTATGACCTTTCCTACATCCTTCATCTTAGCCATTAATGTGCCACTATCTTTTTTCTCAAAAGAGTTTTCCCGCCATTCCTCTTAAGGGAAGCGCGCTATCACAACTACCCTCCTCTCCATCCCTTCCTATGCAAGCCCGGTTCCCATCCTCCCAGGTGGGGAAAAAAACACAAGGCTGGAAGTCCTTTCACGGGCTCCTTATTTTTCGGAGGCTCGCTGACGCTCGGGTCTAGCGCCTGGAGAATGCAGGGACAAGCCGGCGTGGAAATCTTTGCATCATGAGTCTGCGTGGAATAAGTTACCCCCCCCTCCGGTAGGAGAGGAGAAACGCAACGGGAAGGGAAATCTAGAGGAGGAAAAAAGCGAATTCTAGAGCGGGAGGAAGAGGGAAGTCTTCTGAATGAATTGCTACCGGGATTCCGCGGTAGGGAGACAATCGGGGTTACTAATGGGAATTCCGCTCAGGAGGGCGTTGAGCACATGTTCCCGGGGGCGGGGAGATCCACGCAGTAGCTGGGAGCCGAAAGCTATTCAATCAATTGAGCTCACGTCAATCACATTGCGGGCGATCAATATTTACTCGAACCAGTCAGAAAACGCATGGATGTCACAATCCAAGGACCGTTTGCCGAAACGCAAGGACATGCAAAGCGCAGCTCCACGCGCGCGTTTCGTCCCCGTTAAACAAAGTGGGGTTCCCCCCCCCCTTTTGAATCGTCCGTGGCAGCCTTCACCGCTGCTGCCTTTTTGTCGTCCTTTCGTTATTTCCATGAAGGCTTTTGCCTCAACCGAGATCTTAACCCAAGCACTCCGCAGTCACTTTATTGCTGCCCCTGCCAAGTCGCTCCCGCTCGCCCGCAACTCACCGAGGGTTGCCACCCGCCCAACTTTCAAACCTTCCTTGAGGGGGAGATTCGGAGAGGCCGCGAACGGCAGCCTGTGCGGCCAATGGCCGCTGGGTGAGGATGTTGCTCCTCCCGGTGGCTTCCTGGAGCCAATCTAAGGCGCAGAAGGTGGGATTTCCTCGCCGTGCGCGGCCTTTTAACCCCTTGAGCCCTTCCGAGACTAGGTGGGAGGGGAGGCTGACTAAACTAAAGGATGGGAAAGTCATCGTTTGGAGGTAGAATGTCAGCCTGAAATTCTAGGCTAACGATTGCTGAAAATAGACTCTTAATACAATCATGAGTAGCGAAGCTCGTGGCTGCAATACAGAACGTTCTCCTTTAAGCTCTTTTGCTTACTTTTCCATTCTCCCCACCCTGCTGGTTTTTTTAAAAAAAATATTTTCGTCAAGCATGAATTATACAACAGATATAAGTATAAGCATGATTAGGAATACATGAAATGAATATGAATACAAGGGAATATTACAGTGGTGGGTTCCGGATCCCGTTCCAACCAGTACGGTTGGAATGGGTCCGGCGGCATCCACATGGATGCACGCAGCACACGCACATGTGCACAGCGCATGCATGTATCTTAGCACCTCCGTAAGCCTCCGTGATGCTCCAGCTGCTCTGCCGAGTGTCACGCAGGCGCTTTATGCGCGTGCGCGGAAGCCTTAAAAGGCAAGTAAGGAACTCGGGTGGGCTCCGGAGCACAATAACGGAACGGTATCCGGTGCTCTGG